AAATGGCGACGATGATGATAATAATGACAACGATGAGGACGATGGCGACGGCAATGGCAACAGTCAAAACAGTATTAACGGAGTTCGTGACTGGGTCAGATTAAATAAATAAAAATAAATTATACAGAGTAAATTATACATATGTAAATTCAACAAATAGGAAATAGAAAATAATGGCTATAACGCTCAAAATTAAATCTTTTAATGCTTAAATAATTCAATGCATTATATTAATGTATTGTATATATAGTATATATATATATATATATATATATATATACATGCATATATACCATATTTTTAATCATTCAAACGTTGTTTCTATATATACATTGATTATTGAGAAGAATATTACTAAAAAGTCTCGATAGCCTAAAGGCTTAAGATCCACTCGGATGGAATGCTAGAGATCCGGATTCGACTTCCGGCCAAAATATTTTTTGCAATAAATAAATTTATTTCAGATTTTCAGCATAAAATCTCTTTAATAGGTGCCTAGTTAACATCAAAAATTTAATTGTTATATTATTTCAATAATTTGATTGCGTTTTTAAATTCGAGAAAATTTCAGCACACAGTTCGAATGACTACAAATATGATATATATGCATGTACATACAGGGTCTATAATGTTTGTTACCATTCTTATATTTTGGAAACGGTTCAAAATTATGAAAAATCGCGAAATATTCGATTATTTCGAGATGCTTCTCTTTTAAGAGGATCAGAGAGATTCTTCCTTTAAAGGAAGAATGCCTTAGGAATGCCTCAACTTAAAAATTTCAAATGACCTCCCTATTGCAACACGTCATATGAAAGGGCATAAAAAAGGAAGCTTTTGATTTTATTGGAAAGTTGATATATTGACTCCCATTCGGGAATTATTCAGTGTCACAAAGTTTAAAAAATTCTATTTGTTCTTATCTTCAATATTTGTTTATTGCAGTAACTGTTCAAAATGGGCACCGTTTACTTGGCAGTAAAACAATCAATTATGAAATTCCTGTCTTATATTCTGAAATATTTTTCTTAAATATGTTTTTACAAGCTGCTGTAATTCTCGTTTTAAAATCTTCAATGCTATTAGAGACAGTTTTATACACTATTAATTTGAGATGGCCCCATAAAAATCCCATAAATTTATTATTTGAACGTTCATAGGATGTACATGAGATGCACAACTTCTCACGCATTTTCAATGTAGTTTTCAAAAGTTATGACAAATAGACGTCCAGCAAACATGTTAAAATTTCCCAGATAGTCATTCATTCCTTAACATAAAAAGAAAAATACTTACTGATCATAAGTTTCCTTTCGATTGCAATCACGTTATTATAACGGAGTCGCTAATCCCTTTGTATAAAGCAATCTGAAAGCAACAGGAAAGGACTATTTCCTGAGAAATTGAAGGATAGCCTGGTTATGCGTTCTCTTACTATACATGTCAGTTATTGCGAAAAATATTTCCGAAGCTTTAGTGGTCGAGCTGGCTAAGATACTCGTCTCTGGAAAGTCAAGAAGTCCCAGATTCGAATCCTGGCTGAGGTAATATTTTTCGTAATAAAATCTTTTATTTGAAATAAAAGAGGAATTATATATACTCGCGATTGTCCGACCGTTTCGGCTCGCAATTATTAGCATCTCAGATTGATTGCGTTTTAATGTTCGAACATTTCGGCGCACAGTCACATTTGAGATTAATTAAATTCATGAACCAAGAATATTATATTATTCGAAACTTCCAATTTTGACCGATCTTAAAGATACTCTCTACCATACAAAT